CCTACTTTGTTTATTGTTGATAAAGTACTGGTGTATCTAATTTTTAGCCAATTGTATTGAAGTACAATTTATAAGAAATAAAAAGCACTCACTTTAAGAGTGTGATTTGATGAATTGTGACAAATGAACACACTTGCACAATCATCGCTACAATCAAGTTTAGGACATTCTATCATCTCCCTAATTCCCTCAAGCCCTTTTGCAATTGCTAGGCAACTATCGGCTTGCTTTCTGTCATTCTGGATTAGATTTGCTTTCCCTATTATTTTATGTAAATGGAATCACACAATCAATACTCATTGTGTCTTGCTTCTCTCACTCAGCACAATGATTTTCATTAGTTCATATTGTCATCATATTCCACTGTCTAGCTATATCTCAATTTGTTTACTCACCTGTTGATGGACAGTTAGTTTGTGTAGAGCTGCCATAACAAAATACCACAGATTGGGGAGGCTTAAACAATAGAGATTTATTTTCTCACAGTTCTGGAGGCTGGAAGTTTAAGATTAAAGTGCCACAGGTTTGGTTTCTTCCAAGACCTCTCAAGTTGGTCTGCAGATGGATGCCTTACCTCTGTGTCCTCACACATTCCTCTGTGTGTGTGCATCCCTGCTGTCTGTCTGTCTTCTCATAAGGACACCAGTTATATTGGACTAGAGGCCCGGTGCACAAAAATTCGTGAACTTGGGGGGAGGGTGGTACCTCAGCCCAGCCTGTGCCCTCTCATAGTCTGGGGGCCCTCAGGGGATGTGCAACTGCTGGTTTAGGCCCAATCCCTGCAGTCAGACATCCAGCAGTCAGACATTCCTCTTACAATCCGGGACCGCTCATCCCTAACCACTCGCCTGCCTTCCTGCTCACCCCTAACTGCTCGTCTGCCTGCCAGCTGAGTGGGTGTCATAGCAACTGGCTGTTCTGGTTGTTACGCCATAACAGTCGCTTAGGCTTTTATATATAAAGATGGGCCTGAAAAGAAAAGGCTCTTTTCTTTTTCCCTT